TCTCACACACCAATGTTGGAAGTGTACACTGATGTGACCTTTCTTGAATGCAATCCTTCAGAATGTTCCAAGAAGCTTCAGTGAGTTTGACTCATTGACCTAGTTCTTTCATTTCTAGGAATCTACTGCAAGGTAGAACTGTGAAGATTTACAAGCAACCTTACAGCATTATTTAAAAAGAAAGTTTGAAACACCTTAAATGTACAGTAGTAGAAAAATGGACTATTAGGTAGCCCTAAAAATAATTTTTACAAATAATTTTTCATAACACAGGAAAATGACACAACATGCTAAGTAGTTAAAACAAGTAAGCAAATTCAATATTACATTAAAACATGTTAAAAATAGGGGCACCTGGGTGGCTCAGTCATTAAGCGTCTGCCTTCGGCTCAGGTCATGATCCCAGGGTCCTGGGATCAAGACCCGCATCAGGCTCCCTGCTCTGCGGGAAGCCTGCTTCTCCCTCTCCCACTCCCCCTGCTTGTGTTCCCTCTCTCGCTGTGTCTCTCTCTGTCAAATAAATAAATAAAATCTTTAAAAAAAATGTTAAAAATATATTTGTGTATACATATATAGAGCTATAGTAATATATGAGAGAGAGAGATGAATGTAGTAATACCAAATGTATGAGATACATTTTTTTAAATGTTTGATATTTTTTAACAAAATGTTACTTGGAGTATGATTTCAAATGCTTTTGTTTTCTTCCTTAGAGTTTTCTTTATTTCTACATTTTCCAAGTACATTACTTCAATAATCATAAAGAAAGACCTTAGAGCTAAAGATAATGATTCTAAAGTCAATCTGAGGATAATGGGATCTCTATGCTCTAGGAGGTAAGAAGGGCCATCTTAGGTTATTCAGGTTGTGAACTGCCACATCTAGGCAGATGCTATTCACATTGTAGGCATATAATAAAAGGACTAGAGATGTTTAGCCTTTTCGGTTATGCAGTAGATCAGAGACTCTCTTATATAAAGCCACCTGACGTTCATAGTCATGAACATAATTGAATCATCTCTCATACACACAATGAACAACACACACTTGAGATAGTTATGCCCCTTCCCTTCAATCCCTTGGGCATTTTGTCTCTTTCCCTTGCTTATCTCTCTTAGATGCCTGATGCCTACTTCAAACTTGACATAGTTCCTTCATCTAAAGGACCTGTTCTATTCTTTCAAGTCCTCCTTTCTTAGGATACTTGATTTTTTGTTTGTTTTGTTCTTTATTGAATGGAATCAAAAGTTTTGACATTTCTTTGAAGCTTGAACTAAATTTGAAGCTTGAACTAAATTTCATTTCTCTAAATGATTCTACATCTTTTTTTCTTAGTGGTGCAAGTTGTCTTAAGTAGCGAGTCAGTCTCTACAAAGTACTTCGGTCTGTTACCATTCTGATAAAACAAAAACAATTCTTCATTAACTTAACCGTATATGTATTTTTGCTGTTAACATTTAACACACGAAGAGACATCTATTATTTTTCCACTAAAACAAGAGTACAACAGTTTTCTTCTATCAGTATTGTATTTAAAAAAGGTTAACATTAAAAACAAAGAACCATTATTTTGTTTGAAATCGTTAAGCTTCTTGCACATCTAAAGCTTCCTTCTTCTGCCTGCATTCTTCTGCCAATTTATTCAGAAATTAATTTCTGATAATGAGGAAGGCTGTTGCAATGAGTATTCTTTGCAACTTCATTTGTATAAAAGAGTGAACACAGCTTACAGTAAAATCCTGTTTAGGTATCACATAGTTCGGCAGCTGCAAAGAAAAAGCTAAAAAAGGTGGACAGGATCGAGGAACTTGATCAAGAAAATGAAGCAGCGTTGCAAAATGGAATTAAAAATGAGGAAAATACAGAACCAGGCGCTGAATCTGCTGAGAATGCTGATGATCCCAACAAAGATACAAGTGAAAATGCAGATGGCCAAAGTGATGAAAACAAGGACTATACAATCCCAGATGAGTATAGAATTGGACCATATCAGCCCAATGTTCCTGTTGGTATAGACTATTAGGATACTTGATTTTAACCAGGCCTCCTTTGTCAATCACCCTACCTGGAGAGACAAAAGAACCTTAGTCTTCTCTCAGATGGAGTGGCATTTAAGAACAAATAGTAAGAAAAAAATGATGCTGACAATCTTAGTTATTAAGAAAATACCTATGGGGCGCTTGGGTGGCTCCGTTGTTAAGCGTCTGCCTTCAGCTCAGGTCATGATCTCAGGGTCCTGGGATCGAGCCGGGCATCGAGCCTGGCATCAAGCCCCACATGGAGCCCCACATTGAGCCCCATCGGGCTCCCTGCTCAGCGGGAAGCCTGCTTCTCCCTCTCCCACTCCCCCTGCTTGTGTTCCCTCTCTCGCTGTGTCTCTCTCTGTCAAATAAATAAATAAAATCTTAAAAAAAAAAAGAAAATACCTATATAACTATTTCAGTTTTACATGAAATAAATACCAAGCTATAGATACATTCTGAGCTGGTATCATACCAATGAGCTAACTGAAGAAACTTCATCAAGTTATCAGGTAAGGGCAAAACTCAGTGAAAGAAATAAAAATAGAAAGAATTTAATACAAAAAATTAGGGGCTGAAAAAAATCACTGAAAGCTGGAGGAGCAAAAGTCAGGTGTCTTCTAGAGCTACTGCATTCAAGAGCACCACCGTAGCCTTGATCCATATATAACGGAGCCTCTATGGAGGCCACTGCCGCTGCCCCCACGGAAGCCACCAGTTCTCTCTCAACATCCGTAAGGCTAAGACTGTGGAACACCAAGTGAGTGTGCTAAGCAGAAAGGACACCAGCAAGATAGCCTCTGCCTCATTTCCAGCTAATTAGTGTTGGTTCTCTTTCTATCATTGTTTCTGTAGAAAAAAATTCACTCTAAATTCTAAATAACTAGTCTGCAAACCAAGTTTTCAAAAATATTCTATTTGTAATTTGGAGTCGGTGCGCTCTTAAAATAACAAACAAACACACACCATCCCCTAAAGAAAAACTAGATGAAACAAATCCTTAGGTTATATTTTATGGTCACTGAATTCATTTACTTCTTCCTCAAGCATTGGTATATCTGTAGTTACCATCATTGCAAGGGAGTGCACAAAAATTTTAAATTTCATTTGCAGGACTTGAAAAAAAAGAAGAAAACAAGCCTTGGTGATAATATTATCAATAAATGATTTATCACAAAAGCTTGCTTCTTATACCAAAGGGTTGCATTGCCCCAATTTTTTGTTCATTTTTGGTTTCTTGATAAGAAGTTCTTCTTTGGTGCTGATTTGGGGTAAGTGCATATCTCTGGTGTAATTTTCAGTTATTGTCTATGTAGGCTTACAGTACATAAATACATCATCTGATAAAAAAATAACATTTTCAAACATTTCAAAGGAGTACAGGAAAATAAATTTCCATGACAGGCAATGAAAGAAGCAGGTATGCAAAGTGATAGGATATATGTTTTCTAGGATATGTTTCATTTTTTTTGTTTGTTTCATCCTTTTCCTTTGTACCATAAGCAATTTTGGTAAGACCAGAGATACGGATGATGTGAAATCCACAGAAGTGTAAATGAAGTAATATTTTCCATGCTCCCTTAAAACATTTGAAAATTTACTTTGAGAACCTCGGTTCAAATGTATCCCCCTCATCACCACCACCATCCAGGGAGTTCCTGTTGCTGTTTTCTTCACTTTTCCAGTTGAACAACTAAACCAAGAGGAAACTAAGCCCTTTAGCTACTGAGTCATGGTATATTTGGCGGGGGGCACTAGGAAGGGAATCAGGAAGATCTCCTAGCGACCAATTATTTGCTTCAGTCACCATGCCATCTCTTATATTGTCATAAGGATGAAGAATTATACTTCCACATGGTGAGCCAGCCTAATGCTAAGGCATATTCTATGTGTGCCATGCAATGGTATTTCTGTTTTCTAAATAAAATGTTGGAATACTAGAAGTTATACTTTATTAATGCATTTAGTGATGATATTGGAGTTTGTGAAATGTGACAAAAAGGACAGATGGAGAATAATGAAAGGAGACGGGTATCAACTGATTGTCCCAACAGTACAGGCTGGAGCAAAGGCAAATAATCATTTGAATTTCTGCTCCTTAATGTGATTCGGAAGGTTGGCTGATCTCAGGTATTTTCAAGAGTCTAATTACTGTTTTTGCTGGTGAAAATCCATCCTACATATAATTCAATTTCTTTTATTAAATTTCTTGCTTAATCTTGAAGACATTTGATATGTTGTAATGCCTATTATCATACTCATGTAGTGAGAACAAATTCAGAGAGTTTCAAAAATTACCCAACTTCTCATTTCCCTTATTACTTCTGGCCTCTTAATACTTCTTTCCCTTTGCTACTAACTGAAAGCAATTTTCTTGCTTTTTCACTTTTAAAATGAAGTTTAGATCTCATTTGTGTTCATGTGAAGAACCTACTCTTGGAGAGTCCCTGTCAAGATATCTATTGTAATACTCGCTCCTACACATGCCTTCAGACATTGATTGCTTATCTAGAGAAATACACCCACACCTTTTCAGAGGCGCTAGGTGTGGGTTCAGAAATGCCAAGATGGAGGGCAGGAAGGGAGCAGCTATTCCCTAAAACACAGCACAGGGGTATGGACTTGAAGTTGAAAAAAAAGTGTTTACATGTAAGGCTTTTAGATAAGTGACCATTATGGAGGGTACTTCCACAGAGCCCTGGGTGTCGGCCTGAGCCTCCTCTGCCCGACAGCAGGGGAAGGGCCGTGCTGACCCCGCCAGGCACGCGATCCCGGGGCACTCGCCACCGCGCACGCACTACCCCGCAGCCCGGCCCAGAGCACGCCGTCTAACCGCTCCTCGGGGCAGATTCCCCGAACGCCGCAGCGACCAGCGCCCCACGCCCAGCACAGCACAGGCTCCGCCCGCCCGCCTACTTCCCTCCGCCGCCGGGTGGGGCTCGGGAAACCCGCTGGGCCGCGCCGCCCCTCCCCGCTCACCTGCTCGCGCTCCTCCAGCGGCCGCTGCCCGCGTCGGCGCGGGCTCGCCCCGGGCTCCGGCTCTGTCCCCGCCACCGGCCGCACCGCCAGCGCGTCCCCGTCCTCGTCGCGCTCCCCACCGCTGCTGCCGCCGCCGCCAAGCAGCTCCCCGGCCGAGCACATCCCGTTGCCAACTCCCGCCGCCGGGACGGCCGCCGTAGGAGCCGAGCGTGAAACACGAGGCAGCGGCAGCCACCCAAGGGCCGCCCGGAGATCGGCCGCGCTGCCACACACACAAGCCTCTGGAGCGCGCCCGGCTGGCCAGGGTGCCAGAAGTACCAGCCCGGCCCGGCCTCTCCTGTCACTGGTTCGCCCCGCCCCGGCCCCCGGGGCGGAGCCCACAGGGGGCGGGGCCACGTCAGGGGCGGAGACAACGGGGGCGTGTGTGAGACTTAAGAGCGAATGTGTGTGTTCGCGCGCGTTTGTGAGACTGTGCGTGAGACAATATACCTTAAGAGACTGTATGTATGTGTGTGAGGTTGTATGTTAAGAGAATGTCTGTGTGTATGAGATTGTGTGTGTGTGTGAGACTGTTGGAGTGTGTGAGAGTGATTATGTACATAACAGATTTTAAGAGATTGTATGTGTGAGAGTGTGTGTGTGAAAGTGTTAGAAAAGGAGTGCGTGAGAGAGACAGTGTGTGTATGTAAGAGAGTGGGTTTGTGAGGGAGAGAGGAGAGCATGTGTGTCGGGATGTGTGTGTAATACACAGTTACACCCCAGCGGGGTACCTCTGTTCTGCCCTGGCACAGGGGCTGTGCCTGGGTGTGCTGCTGGATGCCTGCCAGAGTAGCCGTCCATCCTTTGCAAGTAATACACATTTCTCTGTCTCTTTTGTTCCTTTTGTCTTCTGTCTAGCATCTCTCTGAAGATTTGTGTCTTTGTCTCTGTTAAGTGTTCCTCTGGTGTGTGTTGGTTGTTGGAGCCTTGAGAGCATTTGGTAGGGTATTTGCCTTTGTGTATATTTCTATAAATGGGCAAGGATATGTCTGTCTCTCTCAGTGGTTGGTAAGGGGGATACAACTAATTCATAAATCTTTTCCTTACTACCTGTGATATTGTGATTTATAAGAAATATACAGTTGACCCTTGAAGGATGCAGGGGTTAGGGACACTGACCTGCACAATCAAAAATCCATGTTATAACGTTTGACTCCTCCAAAACTTAATTACTAATAGCCTAGTGTTGACTGGAAGACTTACTGCTATAACATATATAGTTGATTAGCATATTTTGTATTTTATACATATTATATACTGTATTCTTACAATAAACTACACTAGAGGAAAGAATATGCTACTAAAAAATTATAGGGAAGAGAAAAAATAGTCCTGTAAAAAATCCAAGTATAAGTGGACCTGCACAATTCAAACCTGTGTTGTTCAAGGGTCAATCATATATTTGGTTTCATCCCATTCTGGGAACAGAGCTCCTAGAATCTTGGAATTTCCTACTGGAGGACAGCGATAAATGTCTTTTGTTATGCTAATGAGGATACTTTTGGAACGTCTCTAGTTAACTAAGGATAGGGAGTAGTTGCCAGGAGAAAAGCCTGGTGATTAAGAGGGTTAGAACTTTTAGTCCCACCGCCTGAACTCCAGGAGGGTAGAGAGGTGTTGGAAGTTGAATCAATCAGTGATGGTCAATGATTTAATCAATCATGTCTATGCAATGAAGCCCCCATGGAAGCCCAAAAGGACAGAGGTTCCTGGAGCTTCTGGGTTAGTGAACAGGTGAACATGTAAGCAGAGTGATTTGCACAGAGAACATGGAAGCTCAGTGCTCCTTCCAATACATCTTGTCCTATGTACCTCTACATCTGGCTATTCATCTGTATCCTTTATATTATCCTTTATATATATAAACTAGTAAAAGTTTCTCTGAGGTCTGTGAGCTGTTCCAGCAAATTCACTGAACCGAGGATGGGGTCATGGAAGCCTCCAATTTAGAACCAGTTGGTTAGAAGCACAGGTAACAACCTGGACCTGCACTTGGCATCAAAAGGGGGGCAGTCTGTGGCGCTGAGCTCTTAAGGTGTGAGATCTGTGATCTTATCTCCAGGGGATAGTGTCAGAACTGAGTTAACTGGTGATGTTAGAAAACACACATCAAACTACCCTACCCATTTTGTTGAAGGGAAGTTGGACAGTGTTTAAAAAAAAAACAACAAAAAACTTTTTATATCTTTTATCTGTTCTTTGAGAAAATTATAGACTATTGAATAGAGAAAATATCAGGCTATTTGTCAATGGAAAATAAAGAAGAGAAGAATGAGTTACTTGGACTCTTTGATTAAAATGTTTTCAGGCCCAGAGAGGGAATTAAAATAGACAGAAACTTAAAGACTTGTTTTTATCTTTTTAAAAGAGATTTTTATTTATTTATTTGACAGAGAAAGAGAGTGCTCAAGAAGGGGGGTGGGGGGAAGTGGGCAGTTGGTGGAGGGGAAGCGGCAGGCAGAGGGAGAGGGGGAAGCAGGCTTTCTGCTCTGGGCTCAATCCCAGGACCCTGGAATCATGACCTGAGCTGAAGGCAGATGCTTAACTGACTGAGCCACCCAGGCACCCCTTAAAGACTTATTTTAAAGACTATTTCCTGTTTTTGATAATTAGGACTGTAGAAACTAGAAAATATGCCTTTGGATATAACAAATTAGAAAGAAAATTAATCTGGTTTATTTCCTTTTTTTTTTTTTAAAGATTTTATTTATTTATTTGACAGAGACACAGCGAGAGAGGGAACACAAGCAGGGGGAGTGGAGAGGGAGAAGCAGGCTTCCCGCTGAGCAGGGAGCCCCATGTGGGGCTTGATCCCCGGACCCGGGGATCATGACCTGAGCTGAAGGCAGACGCCTAATGACTGAGCCACCCAGGCGCCCCTATTTCCTTTCTTAAAAGCCTTTTAAAACCCAGAGGAAAGTATTTGATATTATATATATAATCAGAAACAAATATCACCATGGGAAGCCAAAAACATTCCCTGATGGGCCTCTTTGCTTTGCTCTAATGACAACATTTTCATTCTTGAAATTTTGCTTTGGCTCTCAGTAGCGTTTCTTATAAAAAGTTGCCTTATAAATGTTTTACAGAAAGCTTTATGATTATATATAGTGGCACAGAGAACATCAGCCTTTTACTGCCAACTCTGGATGGAGTTTAAGGAACATTTTGAAGTTCTCGCTATTTTGGCTTGTGTCTGACAACTTGATAAGTCAAGCAGTTATGTGCTCTTCAGTCAGGCTACAGAGTGAACAGAAATTGCTTATATACATGAAGATTCAGAAGGCACAGAATATATATAGCAGGGCAGGTAAAAAGAGTAATATAGAGATTAGTTTTGTTCAACTTGGGGGTCAAGTCCTTTAGTCTAGAATATACTCTCTGGCCTTTCAGAGATTCAGGCTTCTTCAGGAATTGTCAGTCATTTAACACGTATTTATTGAACACCACTAGGCAATAGGCCCAGGTCTAGGTCTCTACTCTTAAGATGATTCCATTTTATTCCCTTTCAAATTCTCGTCTGATTATCTGGCAAAATTTAAGAACTTCTGCCAAAGGGTGGCCAGAATCCTCTGATCCTCAGCCAGGACTGATGTCACAACTTCTTCCTTTTCTTAGTGTTTGAGTTTAGTGAATGAGTTTCTCTTTGAACTGTGATTCTTTTGTTCATAGACTTTGGTCTTTCCTGGAGATTTAGGGAATCATCTCTTAAAAAAAAATCTAATAGTAGCATTTTGTGAAAAAGACATTATTCAGGTTACATCCCAGATAACACACTTTCAACCACATCTTATGGGAGGGGCAGCCTGTTTTCACTGGGCTGCACAGTATGGATATTATACATAAAAAGCTATTATTGCCAGTTACCTGTGGCAAATATGTTTGCTATTACCTAGGCAACTATGACATGTTGGTCTCAAATTGTGTGTAGTTTAGTTGTGATTTTATTAGTGTATTTACCTCGTGTTTTCAGAGGAATTAGTTAAGTAGTAAGAAATATGTGCCTGTCTAAGGAGTGGCCTGTGTAGTACAAATGTGTCTTGTGCAGTTGCTGTGGGAATAAAAACTTTTAATTCTCACTTTCACGCCTTTAATAGCTTATTTTTAATGTTCTTTCACTCTTATTTGGACATCTTTCCAGAGGAAAATGAACAAATCAGAGCGATCTGTACTCATTTAGTAATAGAATCTTAGAAAAACAAGTGCAAATAAAAAACATTTCCTTTTTTTTCATATTACTATGATGTTAATTTATTATGTTTCCTGTGCTTTAATTTTTGCTTCATATATGAATTTTTTATCTGCTTTTCTGTTTAGCAGAGACTTCAGTATGGGGAATTATTTTTGAGATGTTTGGAATCTGTTCAAAATCCCAGGAAAAAGTATGGTTTCTGGATTAACATATGTGAATTTAAAGGAAAAGGAACTTATTGGAGAACCCACAGTTTCTTTAGCATTCCTTCAGTTTCAGGAAGCTGTATCAGAGAGATGTTGAACCAATGCTTGCTCAATATTCTCTAGCCTTCCCAGAGAGACCACTCTGATTCAGAGGAGAAATTGATTTGCCCTGCTTCTCGGAATTAATTTTTATACTTGCTGTTTTTAAAGAACAAAATTCAACTGAGTAGATTTTAAGGACCGTATTGGCTTTATTCGGTGATTCATGAATTGAGCAACATCCAGTATAACAGGCAGAAGGGAGCTCCAAAGAATTGTTCAATTCAAGAGGGTTTTATAGACTAAAGTGAGGAGGAGCAGGGGAGTTATACTGGGCATTTGCTGATTGGAGCAAAGGGAAGTTTGGAGCTGGGTTAGGTAACTTGTGTAGGCAAGTGCTGACTGGTTGAGCTAGGCCTTCATTTCCTGGGAGAGCCTAGCATACAAACTTAATTAAGTTTTGATTTGCTAACGTGGAGCTTAGCATGAGTGGACTCCAACTAGGGCCTAATCTGGTTACTTTAACACTGTTTTATTCTCTTACTTTGGTGTGACTTTAGATCTACATGCTGCTGAGTTCTCTCCCTACAGTAGAAATGCAGATTAAGACTTGTGTTTTGCTTAAAAAAGAAAAAAAAAAAAAAGTTGAGAAATGCTATTCCAACTCACTAGTAGAGGAAAAAAAC